ATCCAGCAGGAGCCCCCGAGTCAAAATCATGTGAAAACTGAACACCGAAGGCCAGGACCTGGTCTGAAAGGTTACTTATCTGTTCCAGCTCGTCTGCAGTAAACTCCATTTCTTCGCGCAACTGGGCTGAGAGGCTACACTCCTGCAAGCGATGCTTTAAAGTATCCTGCTGGGCTCCGCATTGGCAAGCCTCCTCAACTTCATATCCTGCTTGACGCCGACGGGTCCGCGTCCACATGCACTGTGTGAGAAAGCAGACGAGCGTGGACCTGGCCTTCTTAATTAAACTTTTACCGTCTATCATGGCTCGGGCAATTGAAACATCGAGGGTCTCCTGGGGATAGCCTAGTTTTTGAACAGTTTTGCGCAAGTTGAGCCTATCCCAGGCTGCGTGCATCTTCTGGGCGATCATCTTCGGCGTGCAAGTCGTGAGCGGGTATATTAGCCCGTTCTCGTCTTGCAATTCCAAAACAGAAGCAAAACTCCAACCAATCCTCTTGAGGGAGAGGTAGGCGGCCCCAAGGGGGCCTCTTTCGGCTGCCCACTTGCTTGGGGGGGGATGTTGAAATAGGTTCGGCCAGGCCCTTCAGCTCAAGAAGTTCACGCGGGTGTGACGGCTGTGTGGCAGCGCGCCATACCATCGTCGCCCATGTCAGTACTGGTCCCAAACCTGCGCGCCACGATGGGTCTCCAAGCGCTGCCGAACTGAGTGACCTACTTCGCGTGGCGCATCTGGGGCCGGCTGTTCTGAGGTATTCAGTTTGGAGCTTTCGAAGCTCGACGTGATCGACTCCCACAACTTCCGTACCATGAGTGATGGCCTGCTGGAGGCCTGTCTTCCAAAGTTTCCGAGTGTCACCTCCCACTATCTTGATAGCGCGAATCCGATGTCGTCGGTTTCGATGTCGAACAAACCGTTTGTACAAAGTAGCTTTGGCCAGCCTGCGACTAACTCGAATCCTCGACGTTCCTGCAGTACTATCTATCCCTAGGTCCGTGGCCGCATGCGAGTCCTCGGGGCCCGCATACTTCCCAAGAGTTTTCCTGATTGTCTGTCGGAGCCGAGGGTTCGACGCAATGACTTAGGCTTTGTGAAGCGCGAGCTTGCACTCTAAATCGCCCTGGATGATTGCTGCCAGCCTGGCCGCCGAGCGTTGCAGCTGTCGCACCAGAGCCTCCTGATTTTGATGCTGTTGTCCCAGGAATAGGTCGTCAATAAACATCTGCAAATCCGCGCCCCTAGGGTTCTTTTTGTTCCAGCTGTCCACAGGGCCCAAACTATAGACCTGAACCAGACATGTAGCCCAGCCGCAACCCGCTGCAATCCCTCTCGTCGCTTGGTTGATCATCTGCACTAAGTCCTTGGTGGCGACCAGTCGCTGGCTGCTGTGCTGGGTTAAAATGACCTTAAGAATCTTGCTGCTGAAACCTGTGGCGTGGGCCCTCTCAATCAGCTTGTGGTGGCTGATGCACTCATAGTAGTTGCTGAGGCCCCACAACACAGCGCCTGAATGCAGGGTCTCTTGGCGAGTCACTCCATTCTCTGCCTTCAGACTCTGCCGAAAAAAAAAAAAAAAAAAAAAAACTTCCGCGATGCTCTTGCCCGCCTGATGGGCCAGAGAGCTGCGTCGGTGCTCTGATTCCCATCGCTTTGCTTCACCCTGGCGGACCTTGGACCAGATGCGGCACAAGCCTGGCATCGTCCCTATCCCCCTGAACTGCGGTAAAGCCTGAGCCACCTTGGATTTGTTTTGCTTGGGGATCAGCACCGAAACTACTGCCTGCAACTGCTTGGGCATCGCACCTATGGACTCGACCAGGTGCAAAAAGCGGCAGACCAGTTCGGCCTGGTCAAGCGTCAGGCTCTGGAAATGCTTGGGGTGAAAGCCGCCCCTCGTAGAGGCCGTCACGTGGGTGAACTGCCTTGCTGCATCTATCGACTGCTGAGGCTCTCTCGTGGGCAACTGGGGCTCGAAAAGGCCTGCGGGTGCTTCGTGCTGGAGCCTTTCGTCGGTGGTATCCCAAAGTTGGCTGAGCCGAACAGCTTCGTGCTCCAAAACCTTCGAAGGGCGCCCAGTCCAGGAACCTTTCCAGGGAACAGCTTGGGGAGCCCAGGCCTCCAGGTTCTTGGTCCACTTGTGAGCCCAGCCAGCGTTGCCTTGAGTACCTATCTGGGCCCACTCCCGCCAGGCCCGAGAGGCCTCTTGCTTCGCCAGAGCGATCTCCTTATCAATCAGCTTAGTAATGTGATTCAAAACCTCGTCCAACGCCTCCAAACCCAACTCAGGATCCAGGGCCCCCGCTTGAATATCCAGGATGAGGAACTGGAGGCTCTGATGGGTGCTGAGAAGGCATTCCTGCAGGGCCTCGGACTCTTGGAACTTTGGCGGGGGATATTCCAGACTGCCGGCTACGAGCTGCAACTCAGCAGCGTCCAACTTCTGAAGCTTGAAGAAAAACTGCTGTACCACATTGCGCATCCAGCGCAGAGGCCCTGCATGCGACTTCCACTCAACACGATGCTCCTTCAGAAATTGCTGAGCTGGTATCCACCTGACCCTGGTAGGACAGGCCCTGGGCCGAGAACTTGATTTTAGGGCCGTGTCGGTGAGCTCCTATCGTAACCTCCAAATCCCTGGCCAGAAAATCATAAACCTGATCCAACACTCGCTGCTTTTCTCTCAGACTGGGTGGTTCCACGCTGCGATTGACGATGGTCTCAGCGACCTGGCCTCCGTCGCGCGCCACTCGCGCTCGGGCAACTTGGGGCCAAATACTGGCTTGGTCGGCAGGCGCTGCGGCTTACGCGAGACTGGGGCGGTGAAACCTGCGTCTGCCTGAATGTTGATGCTGACAGGGCGGTGCGGCGACAGCGGATATTTGACATGTACATGTGGTTCCGACAAGACATGCTCCAAACACTTGCTATACACAAAATAGTCCAGCTGCGACTGCGTGTTCTTCGTGCCATAAGTGGGAGTAGACGAAGCACTAATACACATACCAGCACGCTGCACATAATCATGATATCGGAGCTTGTTAGGGTTCATGTTATAGTCTCCTGCTATAAGTATGGGAATTTGATATTCATTCTGCAATATTGCCGCTGCCGCTAAAATGCTGTGGAGCTGTATGTGCCTGCCTGAAAGGTAGATTGCCAACCTTCCCGTTGGCACCACTGAGAAGCCTGTGTGATGAAATGCTCGGAGCACAGCTTGCACTCCTGCGCGCAAATGATGTGTGACTGCTGGCCCAGCTCAGACTTGATGAAGGTCTTCGCCTGCGGCCAGCAACTGCCATTGATGGTCGTCAGCTTGTGCTGGTTAGGAATGCTCCTGCGGCGCAGCCGTCTCCGTAGTCTCGATGGCAACCTTCTCGGCCGCGACCTTGAGCCTCTTGGCGGCGTCCTCGCTGGAGAGCCCCGGTGCCGCCAGCGACTTGTTAGTCTCCTGCAGCTGGTCCAAGGCCCTCTTGCGCGCCTCCGCCATCTGTGCATCCTCTGAAGAAGCCGCTGCACCAGGGGCCTCGGCGCCTGCCGCACTGGGCGGCTCTCCCACGGGAGCAGGTGGGCTGCCCGCTGGGGGCTGCGCTGCCTCGGCCCGGGACTGCTCCTCCTTCGGCTGCTGGAGGTCGTTCTCCTTCGGCTTGTCGTCCCCGTTGGCAGGCTCCTTCTTGTCCTCTTGCACTGCTTTGGCGGCGTGCTGTTCCTTTTCGACCTGCGACGGAGCTTCAACGACAGCCTCCAGATGCTTGTCAAGTTCAGGTGGTATCGATTCCTTCGGCTTGCTGAGACGACCTGCGATGAGTGATTTGATGGCTTCCGCCATCGGCACGTCCTGGGATGCCTTCTGGGCGGCTGCTTGCTGCACCACCTGCAGCTGCGCCTGCAGCCGCTGCACCTCCTCGCTGATCTGCTGGTACTCGTCCAACGCCTTCTGCTGCTTCTCCGCGACGGAGGCCAGCTGCTGCGATAGCTGATTGACGGTGTTCTTTGTCTGCTGCAGACGGCGCTTTTGTTGGTTGAGCTGGTCCGTGAGGCTCTGGGCTTGCTGATCAGGTGTCTTCTCTTGTAAGATGAGCTGCTTCGCCTGCTCGAGAGCCTCGACCGCATCCTTGTACTCCTTGGAACTGTCTCCCTTCCACTGCTTCCAGAAGGTGACCTGGGCCTGGGCCAGCTCGACGGGGCTGGGTACAGGCTCTGCACGATCTGCTTCTGCTGGTTTTGGCCTGTCCCCGTCACGTTCGCCACGACCGTCATCTGCCACTGTGTCTGGCGGACCTCGAGACTTCCCACGGCGCCAACGCCCGTGGCCTCGTCCTCGTTGTCCTCCATCGCTGCGATCCTCTGGCGGTGCCCAGGAGACTGCCCGTGTTGTTGATGAGGATGGCCCACCACCTGCAGGGAGCGGGTCGCTGAGCCCCATCTTCTTGTGTGAGAGCTTCGCGCCACACTTGGTGCAGTGAGTTGCACCACGATCGGCCCAGGCCCAGCCGCTGCAGCCATGCCATGGGCACACAAGATACTTGCTGCGAGCCATCGCGCCACTTCTATCACAAACACTGAGCCGATGAGAACGGGCAGTGCGAGATAGCTCCGAGGAGGAGGAGGTCGGGTATAGCCAGGACCCAAGGTAAGGGGACCCAGTTAGTAGTAGGGCCCCGGAGCCCATAAATTGGCCAGAATCACTGAACCAGGTCTGCCGCAGCTGTTGTTTATTCGGGTGACGGCAATTCCGGTTGGTGGAACAGGGTGGGTGGGGGCGTCCACCAGACACATCTCTAAACCAAGTCCCACTAAACCCAGTTCTGCCAGCGCCCGAGGAGGAGGAGGTGGAGGAGAAGGCGGAGGTGGAGAGGGAGGAGGAGGAGGCGGAGGGCCACAGGGCAGAGAGAGTGCAGCTTTGCCGGCCCAGTCCTGTGCGCAGTGGCCCCGAAGCAGAAGCAGAAGCCTCCGAGAGCGTGCGTTGGTTGATGTCGTCGTTGTTGGCCTCCCTGCGGAGGACGAGGAGGGAGGCAACGTTGCCTTGGACGAGGAAGGGGACTTCTCGCTGCCGATCGAGTTCTGCAGGATTTGAAGTGCAAAACTGGCATAACCACCTACCTTCGGAGGTCCGCGCGGGATTCTTGGATCGGGGCTGGACCCCCCCACCCTCCCTGGCGCGCAGAGTCCGCCAGGGGCGGCGCCGGAGGCGCCGCCAGGGACTCCCAGCGCCGGTCCAAGAGATCCGCGCGGAGCTCCGAGAGTTTATGTGTTTGGTTGCCCTGCTGCGTTTTTTTGTGTTACATATATATATATACACATACACATATGTATATATATATATATATAATCAAAAAATCGCACGTACCGTGTTCAAAACGCCCTTGTTGACAAGCTGCGTGTCGGCTCGGCACGTGTGGGCCCACGCGTCGGCGAACGCGTCGCGCCAGAACCGCGGTTTCTCAGTCCACCTGTCGCGCTGCGTGCCAGCACGCTGCGGGTTGTGCGCTGCGCACCGGGGCAGCCAAGCTCTGCATGGGCGGCATTTTCTTGGAGGTTGATCGACCTCCTACCGTGACGCGTCGATTAGCGAATTGGCTGTTTTCGGTTCGCGAGAGGGTGTCGCGGCCGTCATTTTTCTGGATCCAGGTCCGTCGGTTTCGGTCCTAGGCCGTTTTCATTAAAGGGAGGCTTACTGCAGTTTTCTTCCCCCGAGGATGGGGATCATGCCCGGCGCCGAGAGGGACGGCTTCGAAGCTGCCGTGAGGCAGCTGGAGGAAACCCTGCTCCAGCCGGCGGGGCCGGGGGCGACCGGCCCGCGGGATGAGGTGATTGGCTTGTTTTCCACCGCCACCACCACCATAAGTTGGAGTGGGAGGGGGTCCTCCTCCTCCATCTCCTCCTCCCCCTCCTCCCCCTCCTCCTCCTCCTCCTCCTCCTCCTCCTCCTCCTCGTCCTCCTCCTCCTCTTCCTCTCCCTCCTCCTCATATTCGTCCTCCTCCTCGTCCTCCTCCTCCTCCTTCCCCCCTGCTACTTGTGGTGGTGGTGGTGGTGGTGGAAACCAGGCCCATCGTGAGGTGCTGCGGGCGGAGGCGGCCCGCAGCGTGGAGGCGCTGGGGTCGCCGCTGCTCTGGGCAGTCGCCTCGGTGCCCCGGGTCGGGGCCAGGAGCATGTCTATCACCGGCTGGACATGAGAGTGACCTTTTCGCAGGAGTGACCTTTGGCCTGGCATCGCTCGGACGTGTGCATTTTCCTTCGGCGAGGACCATCGAGGTTGTTAAGGAGATTCCTCCAAAATAGTTAAATGCCATGTAAACGTAGGAAAACGCGCTGCCAAATCGTGCGCCCACTTGATGTAGATTATTCGGCCATGTTATGTTAAACCCTTTGCGCGATGTTATGACAAATTGTAACGAATGGCGCGTATTGAACATCATTGTAGATGCGTGCGTGCTCAATTTTTCTAGGGTTATCCAAATGTTTGGCAATGCATGTCAACAATCGGCGAGCGAGGGAAGCGCTCCGTCGGGGGAAGGGCGCGTATATATGAGCACAGGGGGGGGTCAACAGAGAAAGAAGATGAAACGGAGGAGGACGAGGGAAGGAGAGAGGACCGTGAGGAAGGAGGATGAACGTAGCGTCTTTGCGAGCGTTTGTGTCGGGAGGTCCCGACGAATGGCTCACCCCTGAAACCACAAGGAGGACGGTGGTGGAGGAGGTTGGGCGTGGGGGGGGAGGGAGGGGGAGCGGAGGAGCAGCATGGGGAGCAGGAGGGAGAAGGAGGGGGCGGGGGGTGGATGAGCGAATGGATGTTTTCTCGCAGCGGCGCTCACTAGATCTCTCGAGGTCGAGGGGGGGGGGGAATAGTGGCACTCAATGTTTTGAATTGGCGCGTACATGAGACCCGTCACTAGACTCTTTCTTGGCGACCTGAGGGTTGGGATAGGAGTGAATTGGTGAAGGCTGCATCCTCCATTCTTACACCTCCTCTCTTCACCCTCCTCTCCCTTCCGTCTGTGTGTGCCCGTCCTTTCATCCTCCTCGTCCTCCCCCTCGCCCGTGCTTCTCACCGCCACTTTGACCCCACCAGCTGGCTGGGCAAAATTGGGGCCTCCCGTGTCAGACTCCGCCCAGCCCTGATATATGATGAACGCGCCAGTTTGCATCGCAATTTCCGTCGGATCCGTAGCCATGTGGGCTCAAGTTGAGTGAGCTCCGCATGTTCCGCACACCGAATCATGATTCTGTATGTCTGTATGTTTGCTGGATTGGTGGCGGCGGTAGCGGCGCCGCGCGGCGCTGGCGACCAGCCGCCAGGGCCGCCGCCTGCGCCTGCACCCGCTGGTGCGCCTCACGGCAGAGGCGGGGCCAGAGGCCGAGGCGGCAGAGGTCACGGCCGCGGGGCGCCAGGCCGTGGACGTAGAGGGCGGGGCCGGGGATTCCAGCACTCGCGCGAGACGCTCGATAAGATTCGAGTCAGCGCCCTCCGTCGGTCAGGCGCTGCCCGTGTGGAGCAGGCAGCGCAGTTTGTCGTTGAGGAGAATGAGCGCATCGTGGGCAGCGTGATGGCTGGCAGTGGCACCGTCGATCCACAAAAAAGGTACGAGTACGTTGCAACGACTACTGGACCAATACCAGTGCAATTGAGAGCGAGAAACACGAGCCGTGCCGATGCCCAACGCTTACTGGCCAGCCATGCGGGGGCCCAGCCCAAGGGCATCAAACGTTGGTTGTCGGATGGGGAGTGCGCGTGCCTGCGCGCCGTGAACGTGTTCGACGACGCCTCCATGTGGTTATCCAGGCCTCCACGCACAGCTGAAGGCCTTCAAGAGATTGCGTCGAGTGCGACTCCTGCAGCGGCTGCATCGCTGCGCAAGCGTCGGAAGAAAGGCAACATGATACACGCAGCAGTGCTAAACATCCAAGAGAGCTTGTTCAAGTTTGAAAGTACTCAGGGGTCGGTGTCTGCCCTTGACGTGTTCAGTCCAGCCCAAGTGTTGCCACTTGCTAACTATTCAACTGTGTTGGACAGGTGGCGCAGATGGAGTATCATGAACGGTGTTGGGCCAGGGGCTGGCGTCGACCCCGACGGGGAGCTAGGAAGCGACATATCAAGACTGGCTTGTTGGGTGAACTTGGTCATGGTTCGCGACTGCTTGAGTCTGAACGACTGCCTGGTTGCCAAGACAGAAACAGCGTGTCAAGTCATGCGGGCATCGCTTGAAGCACAGAACGCGTCTTCCGATGGAGTACCTACGGTCTTTTCAATGGAGTGTTCTGGACACAGCGCCGTGCTCAACCTGAAGCCTATATTATATCACTTTGACGGGCTCGCCGCGTGCGTAGTCCGTTGCGGCCACCTTTGCCAGAGCTGGAGGGCGTCGGCGCGCTATTCGCAGGCTTTGGACTACGAGATCGACCATAGTTTCGAGTTCAAGCGCGTGGAGGCGCTGCCTGAGGGACACCATGCGTGGCGCGAGTTCGCCCAGAAAGTGTTGGACTTGAGCGGGTTCGGCCTGGCGACCGAGGAAAAGGATGAGATTTTGAAATACGACAACGGCGATTGGAAACAACATAAAATCATACATTGGTGCGCGCCAACATGCGCATGTGGACGCACCAGGGCGTCATCTTTGAGGCATGTCAGAACTTCAATCACCATGAGTATTGGACCCACGTGCCCCTTGGCATTGGAGTACCGTTGGAAGCACATGGAGAAAGCGAATGCGTGGTGTTACAGGGCTCGTGCACAACATGACTTGGGACTCCGAGCGTTTAGGCGCGCATTCGACAAGGCTGCAGTGGAAGCCGCAGAGAGGGAACTCGCAGGTGCTGCAAATGAAGAGGAGGCCCCTGCAGGTGCGAAGCAGACCGTCAAAGCTGGAAAAGTCGTTGATTACATGAATGGTGACATTGATGGCGCCTCGAACTTGAAGGTTCTTATCCTGCAGGGGCCGCTCCAGGTTTACCTCAATAAAGTGTTCAAGTGCGAGGCTGATACTACTAAGTTCGTTGAACTATCAATGTCTACGCCAGCGGCTGGGGGCCCAGCTCCTGGGCCGAACTCCTCGCTGCAAGACGCGCTCAAGAAGTCATGCTCCCGCAACTTGGACATTATGACGGGCGTTCTGGGTCGGTCTGTCGTCAGGAACTACGCAGACGCTCTCTTCAGTTATGACGATAAGCTCTGGTCGGGCGTGGAATGGGACAGAGCCGATCAGTTCGAGATGGCTGGGCGATTGATGGCGAGCATGGGGCAATCTTGGCGCAGATTGGTTTTCCGCTGCCAGCAGCCGAAGTTCGAACTACTTCGTGTCTGCGACGACGGCTTCTCAAGTGATGATATCTCCGGAATGATCGGCCCGCTCTGTGCTAAAGGCGATGCTTGCGACCATTGCCTCGGCGACTGGTCGATTGTCTGGCTGAGGCGCCTCAAGGAGCAGCCCCTCAGAACGCGCGATGCCCTTATTGCTATGGTTGCCGCTATGCCGCCGTCCAGCGCCAAGGTAGAAATGGAACATCTCCTTGGACAGGAGACCCGACAGGCAAGATCGAGGGGCATGGCATGTCGTGCCAATGAACTGTCCATGCGGACGTATCTCAGGATGATGTTGAAATCGAATGCGTCGAAGACCGACGCCGTCTGGACAAAACATGTGCCCTCGAATTTCGCGCGCATAAGCTTCTCCAAGCATGCCGCCCGCAATGCTTTGATAAAGCGCGGGGTGACCAACAGAGTTCGAGAGGCGCGTCGACGACTGACCAGGACAAGGCTTCGCCCTACTCAGACAAGCGCTTTTTCAATGTACCGCAAGGTGCACTGGGGCCCTGGCATTTCCCCATTTACCGCTGCTGGGAAGGCAGAGACCCAACGGCTGATCCTCGAATTCAAACGACAGTCAGATGCGTCCGTCGCCCACTACCAGGCCATGGCCGACCACGCGTCTGCTGAGGTATCCCAGCGCATGGACGACGTGCTTGACGGGCAGGCCACGCTCCTGGACGCTCGTGGCAGTAGCAGCGCAGGCAAACGCAAATTTGGGACGCTCCGCCATTTCGAGTACAATGAGGCGCTCCAGAGGATACAAGCTGATAGTTCGTGGGCCGCTGGGGCAGCGCTGGACCACCCGTGGAAGGTTCTACGACCAGACTTGGTGAACAACATTTTGACCATGAAGGGGGTTCAAGAGCGTCTATCCAAACACTTTGACAACAGCGACGTTCCCGTGCCGAACCCCCCAGGGGCTGCGCAGCCCAGGTTGGCCTGCTGCGCGGTGTACGGTGGTCTCTGTTGTACTCGGGACGATGTTAAGACAGTGGGTACATTTGTGAAAAATCTTCATTCGCAAATTCGATCATTGAAGCTCCCAGTGCTCGTGCAGGTCGCTGGCCCAGCTGGAATCGCAGCAGAGAAACATTTTCTGATAGACAAGTATGGGGCTGGGGCACTACACGTCCTGGCTCGAGCGCAGCAAACCCTAGGCGATCCTCAGTGCTTCAAGCTGTCCTTCGAGCCTGGGCTGATGGGAGCGGCACTGTCGACGTCGCACATGGTTGGCAATCGAGTGATGGCCAACGCTGCGAGGAGACTGAATAAAGATTCCATCCTGGACTTGGAGACGGTGCAGATCACTATATACGACGTGGTTGATGCTGGTGATACTTTCGATAAGTACTGCGTGCGAGTGACTGGCATCAATGTGCAGAGGGCCTTGCCACTCGCATCCAAGCTGAAGTCGCAGACTGCAGAGGCAAAGAAAGACGCCATCCCCTTCGGGCTCGGCAAGGTCAAGGGCGCCAACCCCGACATGGCCATCGTCAAGGTGAAGGCGAAGGGCCCAGTGAAGGATGCCGCCCACGCTGGCGGAGATTCGGAGAGCGAGTCGAAACATGGCAGTGATGACGAGGTCGACTCTGAGAGCGGGGAGTCTTTGGATTTCGCTGACTCGGGCGGTGAACCTCCTCCCCCTCCTGCCCCTCCTGCTATTCTCGGTGGTTTGGAGCGTGCTGGGGTGTCAGGATTTGAGATCGCTCCGTCAGCGAGGTCGGCATGCTTTGTATGCGGTCGCAAGATTGATCGAGGCCAGCCCAGGTTCCGGTACCAGCTGAAGGCAAGCACCAGCCTTCGCGACAACAGAGTAGTGCATCCAGATTGCATGCCTGCCCTCCCTGATGCGACTAGAGCTCTAGACATTGAGGGGGTTATGTATTTAGCCTCGCAGCCAGAGTGGTCGGCGGAGCAAGTCGACATCATGAGGCGAGTTGTTGCCGCCATGTCGGGCGGCGGCCCAGGGCCAGCAGCGGCGGCTGCAGCAGCGGCAGGTTGACGGGCCCTGGCGGCTCACAGAACATTACCATTCTTCCTCTTCTCCCCCGCCCCTCTCATCCCATCCCACCCCTCTCATCCCATCCTTCCCATGCCAACCTTTCACTTATTGCACGCGTGCATGGAGACGCTGGTCTGGGGGAGGAGGAGGGGGGAGGAGGATATCATCGAGCTTCTTTATAGATGCACGGTGGTGGGGGAGGACGGGCAGGAGTGCAAGCAGGCCTTCACTCAAGGGCGCGTGGAACATGTGCAAGCGCTGTTTGGACAAGCCAGGGTTATTGCAAGCGCTGTTTGAACATCGATTATGTATATAATGTGTTGCACGCGCTCAGACGGATGGGGGAATTAAACAGTTTGCGCATGTACTTGAAACAATAATGCAATAAACATAACTTGCATTACGAAGGCCCGCTATGCTCGTCGTCGTCGTCGTCGTCGTGCGTCGTCGTCGTCGTCGTCGTCGTCGTCGTCGTCGTCGTGCAGTGGTTCAGGGATCCGCGATGATTGGGCGCATGATCAATATCTTGAGTTTCCTCCAGTCTGCCTCCTCGCCGCCCCTCCAGCGGCGCCGCCGCCGTTGTTGCTTCGAGGTTTACGGCAGAAACACCGCGCGGTCTCCAGGCCCCGTTTCCAGGAGCAGATGGCGCCCAACAGGTTTCCTGACCCTGCCTGGGCTGTGCGATTGCAACACCCGCCCACCCACAGGCGGTTCCGCAGGATGTTCAGAGATTTGATAGTTTGGAAATACAAGGCGAAGTTCCGTGCGAGGCGCGCGAAGGCTCTTCGCATCGTCTTGCAGCAAGTTGAGTTCAAAGCAGGGAGCCGTTTGAGCAAGGACAGCGCCATGAGGAATGGCTATCGTGACTACTTGCAGCAAGTGCGTGATGTGAACTCGTAGGTCGTCGTGGCGTGAGCTTGGGCTGGTGAGCGCAGTATCCTCTGCCGCGCACGCGGTTTTCCCACTCTCAGTCTCTTGTCCCCCTACCTCCCCCTCTCTCCCTCTTGCCTCTTGCACCCATCACCCCCCCAGAGGGGAATAGAAGGAGAGAGAGGGCAGAAGGAGGAGAGAGAGAGAGAGGGAGAGAGAGAGGGAGAGAGAGAGAGAGAGAGAGAGAGAGAGAGAGAGAGAGAGAGAGAGAGAGAGAGAGAGAGGGGGAGAGAGAGAGAGAGAGAGAGAGAGAGAGAGAGAGAGAGATAGAGAGACACGCACTTCCCTTCGGGCCGAGTGGCCGAACCAGCCCAGCCGCGCCGCGCTGTGTAGATCCAGACGGCGAGGACATCGACCGAGGCGCGCGCAAACCCGCTGCTTTCCCTCTGCCGCTCGCCGCTGCCGCCGTTCCCAAGACAGTGGCTGCGCTTAGGGGTCTCCCGAAGCCGTATTCCCAAACCAGTGATTGCACTTATGGGCATGCACTTGTGCTTTATCGACGCCTCGGCACCGCTCGGAGGGCTTGTCGAGATTATACGGCCCGTGGACCCCTGGACCACATAGAGCTTATAGGGGTTGAAGGAATGATGAAGCTTCTAAGGCGCCGACTGGTTACATGGCTTATGTTGCGTACTGTGCCTATGTGCCTCCTGGGCGTATTGCGCTTCATGTTACATGTCGTGCTCAAAAGGCTTACACAGTCGCTATGAGCTTATAAGTCTCATGGTGTGTTTTTGTGCTGACGTGGCTGATCGCGCGTATAATGCTTATACGGCTGACGCGGCTTATAAGGCGCATGCGGGATATAGGGTCGCTAGAGTGAACCCTTAGCGATGGAAACGGAATTTGAAATTTCTGTGGCCCTTTAGGGGGCGACGGACGCGCGCCATGCTGCCTCGGAAACTAAAGTGAACAAGTGAACCCTTAAGAGTGACCGACGGGATTTCGGGTGACCCGCACGGTCGGTGGGTCACCCGCCGCGCGCGTGCGCGCGCGCATCGGGAGTTTGTGTATTGTCCACACTAGAAAAGTCGACATGTAATTTCAAAAACTGAATTTGAAATTCCTGTGGCCCTTTACGGAGGCCGACAGACGCGCCGACTTTTCCATGGTGGACAATAGAGAACTCACTGACCACGCGCGCGCGCGCGCGGGTGACCATGGTCACCCGCGCGCGCGGCGGCGCGCGCACACGACGAGTTGTGTATTGTCAACACTAGAAAAGTAGACATGCTGCCTCGGAAACCAAAGTGAACCCTTAAGAGTGACCGACGGGATTTCGGGTGACCCGCACGGTCGGTGGGTCACCCGCCGCGCGCGCGCGCGCATAGGGAGTTGTGTATTGTCCACACTTGAAAAGTTGACATGTAATTCCAAAAATTGAATTTGAAATTTCTGTGGCCCTTTAAGGAGGCCGACAGGCGCGCTGACTTTTCTATGATTGACAATACAGAACTCACCACGCGCGCGCGCGCATGGGGAGTTGTGTATTGTCCACATTAGAAAAGTCGACATGTAATTCCAAAAACTGAATGTGAAATTTCTGTGGCCCTTTAAGGAGGCCGACAGACGCGCCGACTTTTCCATGGTGGGCAATACAGAACTCACCACGCGCGCGCGCGCGGGTGACCATGGTCACCCGCGCGCGCGCACACGAGGAGTTGTGTATTGTCCACACTAGAAAAGCCGACATGTAATTCCAAAAACTGAATTTGAAATTTCTGCGGCCCTTTCAGGATGCCGACAGACGCGCCGACTTTTCCATGGTGGACAATACAGAACTCACCACGCGCGCGCGCACACGAGGAGTTGTGCAGTGTCAACACTAGAAAAGTCGACATGCTGCCTCGGGAACTAAAGTGAACCCTTAAGAGTGACCGACGGGATTTCGGGTGACCCGCACGGTCGGTAGGTCACCCGCCGCGCGCGCGCGCATAGGGAGTTGTGTATTGTCCACACTTGAAAAGTTGACATGTAATTCCAAAAACTGAATCTGAAATTTCTGTGGCCCTTTAAGGAGGCCGACGGACGCGCCGACTTTTCCATGGTGGACAATACAGAACTCACCACGCGCGCGCGCGGGTGACCATGGTCACCCGCGCGCGCACACGGGGAGTTGTGTATTGTCAACACTAGAAAAGTCGACATGTAATTCCAAAAACTGAATTTGAAATTTCTGTGGCCCTTTAAGGAGGCCGACAGACGCGCCGACTTTTCTATGATGGACAATACAGAACTCACCACGCGCGCGCGCATGGGGAGTTGTGTATTGTCCACACTAGAAAATTCGACATGTAATTCCAATAACTGAATTTGAAATTTCTGTTGCCCTTTAAGGAGGCCGACAGACGCGCCGACTTTTCTATGATGGACAATACAAAACTCACCACGCGCGCGCGCGCATGGGGAGTTGTGTATTGTCCACACTAGAAAAGTCGACATGTAATTCCAAAAACTGACTTTGAACTTTCTGTGGCCCTTTAAGGAGGCCGACAGACGAACCGACTTTTCTATGATTGGCAATACAGAACTCACCACGCGCGCGCGCGCATGGGGAGTTGTGTATTGCACACACACACACACACACTAGAAACGTCGACATGTAATTCCAAAAACTGAATTTGAAATTTCTGTGGCCCTTTAAGGAGGCCGACAGACGCGCCGACTTATCTATGATGGCAATACAGAACTCACCACGCGCGCGCGCATGGGGAGTTGTGTATTGTCCACACTAGAAAAGTCGACATGTAATTCCAAAAACCGAATTTGAAATTTCTGTGGCTCTTTAAGGGGGCCGACAGGCGCGCCGACTTTTCTATGATGGACAATACAGAACTCACCACGCGCGCGCGCATGGGGAGTTGTGTATTGTCCACACTAGGAAAATCGACATGTAATTCCAAAAACTGAATTTGAAATTTGTGCGGCCCCTTTAAGAAGGCTGACAGACGCGCCGACTTTTCTATGATGGACAATACAGAACTCACCACGCGCGCGCATGGAGAGTTTTGTATTGCACACACTAGAAACGTCGACATGTAATTCCAAAAACTGAATTTGAAATTTCTGTAGCCCTTTAAGGAGGCCGACAGACGCGCCGACTTTTCTATGATGGACAATACAGAACTCACCACGCGCGCGCGCGCGTGCATGCGGAGATGTGTATTGTTCCCCCTAGAAAAGTCGACATGTAATTTCAAAAACTGAATTTGAAATTCCTGTTGCCCTTTAAGGAGGCCGACGGACGCGCCGACTTTTTATATTGTGGACATTACAGAACTCCCCACGCGCGCGCGCCGCGCGCGTGGTGAGTTCTGTATTTTCCACGATCGGAAAGTCGCCATGTTGGCATTGAAACTAAAGTGACAGTGATCGATTGGATCTCCAAACTAACATTGAATATGGTGCATGTTTTGGACAAATTGGAACCGCCCACGCGCGCGCGAGAGCGTGTGACCATGGTCACACGCGCGCGCGACGTGGGTATCATCGCCACGTGGCCGCGCGGCCGAGGCCGCGCGCGTTGGGGGTCATCCAGAGCGGGGAAGTGGCCCCGCCAACCTCCGCGGCAACCCAGAACCCGCTATTCAGGCTATTCAGGTCCATTCAGGTCAGCCATATCGCCAGCCATGGGCGCGGCCCACAACGCGCCCGAGAAGTTTGGGGCCCT